GAGTTTACACCTCGAGGTGTTCTTGAGCGGTAAACTCCCGAAACGAAGCCAAAACCAACACATGTGTTATGATAAGGCCTTAGATGTTTATGAATGCATGTTAGGGACAATAAAACAAGCCAAAAGCCACCCAAGATTGGGAGTTTACGGCCCAAAACTCTCTTAGGCCGTAAACTCCATATTCTAACATTACATGGTGTTTTGAGGACACTAGGACTTTAGGGCTTGTATCTAGACTATTTCCCCAAGTAGAACAAGGTCTTAAACACATCAAATGACACAAATCAAAGTGAGTTTACGGCCCAAGAGAAGCTTTGGCCGTAAACTCCATAAGAATGGACAAAAGGGTGGTTTCAAGACAACTAAAGCCCTAGACCCTTTCATGGAATTGTTTCACACAAAAATAAGGAACCAAAGTACATAAAAATCACTCATCAAAGTGAGTTTACGGCCAAGAGAATGCTCTTGGGCCGTAAACTCAAAAGGATGGCACCCAAAGTGTGCCTAGGTTCTCATTAGCTTTAAACAATTGTCTAGAACATATCCCACAAGTGCAAGAGGCTTGAAAGCAACTAAAACCCACATTTCTTAGAGTTTACGGCCGTAAACTCTAAGGGTAATGGCCTTGAGGCCGTAAACTCCTAATTGGAGTACTTATAGACCTTAAACCCTTCCAAGGACTTAGCCACTAAGTTAGAACAATTCTAGAAAGCATTTGGGACTTCAAAACACACCAAACACACATGTTTGGGAGTTTACGGCCGTAAAAATCAAGAGTTTACAACCGTAAACTCCATGTGTGATGGTTTAGAGAGGGTAAACTCTCATATGGGGTCCTTTGGAAACCCTAAACACAAGTACCCTGTCCCACAATGGCTTAGATGTAATCCTTATGGCTTACAATACTTATATAAAGTGTTTATTATGCCTAGGATGTCTTAAACATTATCAATTAGTCAATTGTGTCTAATTGAGTGCATATATGTGTGATTATATGTTCATTAGGATCGTAGTGTGTTCACCAGTTCTCGCTTGACACCTAGCCATCCGATACCGTTCATTTCATTCCAATCACCAACTACAGGGGAGTTCATACCCCTAATCAATGTTTTAAATGATTTTAAATGCTTTAAAGGGGGGAATACAAGTAGAAACAAACATGTTATTAAATCATTATTATGTATTTTATAACAGTGTTTGTCCTTTAACAGATTTCACATACTACAAAATGTGATGCATGAAATGGTTTTAAATCTTAAAAACGCATTGTTATCAATTGTTTTACCTTTGAAATATATATTATAAATGACATCAAGTCATTGTTAACTATTGTTCAAAAACCCATAAGAGGTCTTATAAAACCATTTTACATTATTGAACTAAACTATGCATGTACACTTATATTCTTATATATGTATGAATGTTATAGCTTACAGTTTTCATTTGGTTTCTCACACCCTTGAGTAGTAAGAGTGTATAAACCCACTTGAACAACCAATTACCTTCCAGCAAACTATCATAGGGATAATTTGGAGATATCAAACATAATTCCTATTACAAGGAATCACACAAGAGTCAGTTCATTCATGAGTCTATACAAGTACATTACCTTATACATGAGTACCTTTACATTTGATTACATGATACATGAGTACCTTTGCATTTGATTACATGATACATGAGTACGTTTACATATACTTACATGATACATGAATACGCGTACATGAACGCATTACATGAGTACCTTCACGTAGATACACTTAATTATGTACATTTACATGAATACTTGTATCTCGAATTGCGAGGATGATTTATTAGTACCTTCTGTTTAAATCTTCCTGCATATCCCTAGTACCTCGGGATATCTAGACAGGACCCTATCCCCAGTACCTCGGGATACCTAGATGGGCCTCTATCCCACAGTACCTCGGGATATATGTACGGGACTAACCATTCCGGAACCCATCTGTTAGCAAAAGTGGGTGATGAACATCTACGGATGCCTACGGTTATTACTTATATTAGGAGTACCTTTAAATGGACTAACCCTTCCTTCCCCCTGCTGCTGCTACAGAGGACAATTGGACAATCTTCGGATGTTCATTAGGTTATGTAAGTGGTGTTAACCCTAGTACCTTGGGATAACAGTTACGTATGATGTGTTGGTCCTAGTACCTAGTGACAACACTTACAGTAGTACATTTTCCTGTTTACTTTATTTTGTGATTCTTTCACATAAACGATGAGTTAGACTAAGTACCTTAGTACTAAACAATTAAAGGAAAACTAACATTTTACTTACAAAACATTCGGGTCTTGGTAGAAGACTACATTTCATACTTATAGAAAATAAGGGTTTTTCTAGGGTTTTCATACGTACATCAACATTTTCATTTAACGATTTACATGGTCTTTATAACAGATTTTCACAAACAAGGCAATGACACTTATATACTTATGAATTCACCAGCTTTAAAGCTGATACCCGCTTTCAAAATAACTTGTATTCTCAGGTCATCAGTAGACATGTACGGAGGCCAGGTTTTTGAGAAGACGGAGCAAACAAGTCTCGTCTTTTATTTTGATTGTATATTTTTGGTGTCTGACTACAATGAAAGGAACACACATGTATTAAAACTTTACTTATAATGCAATGGATGATGTTGTTGCTTGTTTATTATATTACACTGTTGTGATATTGTACATGACGTCCTCCACCCCTGAACGTTTCCGCCGTTCGTGGTTTTTGGGGTGTGACATAGTTACTTAATCTAGACTATAACTACACCTGTAAAACACACATAACAGGGACAATTCTCTAACACCTTACTCATTTAGTATCACTTTACCATTTGTATGCTTATCTCTGTAATTCTTTCTTCAATCAATAAGATTAAACAAAGCAAATGATCATTATCACCTCCTAATGTTTTATGCCGAAGATCATAGCAAATATCAAGGGCTTTCCTTGTAAACCACTTGTGCAATTTTGTTCTAATTTCGTTAATCACTTCACCTACAACACCACAACCTCTCATGTAATTTGGTTAATATCCACCTTGTCGATTTTTGATCAAAACAGTAATAAGATCAGAACATATAAAATAAATATGAATTACACTCGGTTGAGTTTGACATGTATTTCAATTACTTCACTTTATTAATATTTTTATTAAATTTAAGAAAATTATCAATAATATACTAAAAAGTATCTTAATTTGGAAAGCAAGTGAATCAATGCTTAGAGGACCATTCTGGAGCAATTCATTATTATATAAAATAAGTAATCGAACCTAATACATATATATATATTTTTTAATTTCTACAATTTCATAAAAATATAAAAATATTATTATATAAAATATTCTAAGTATATAAACAACAATAGAAAAATGTAATATAAAAAACAATAAATTAATTTAATTTTAGTTAAAAATTAATAAATAATGTTAAAAATAATAATATTGGGAAATTCACTCTATACGTATAAAATACCATTTGCACTTCTAATTAAAAGTCCATAACTTTATATATCTTATATATTACCGTTACATTCAATTTGTTATTTATCTATAGTTAGATTTCTAAAAAATGGAAAATTAAAAAAAAAATTGTTAGATTTAAGAAATAAAGAGTAAATTACAAAAATGGTCATGTGGAAAAAAGAGTCGATATACATTTTGAAGAGTAATGCCTAAACCTAGATCCAAGAGTAATATCAACGGAGCTTCCAGTCAAAAGAATCGTCAGTAATCCATTTGTTGATTTCTGCATAAGTCGGACATAAAACGATCAAAGGTTAACAATTCAATTTCTCGAATGATTCATCCTAGAAAGCCTCATTTCTCCATCTGATGTCGTTGGTGACAATAAGTCGAACAACGTCATTCTGTTCCTTCTTCTTCTTCTTTATAGTGACACAACAAAAGAGAAAGATAGAGATACTTACAAGTTTGAAGTCAAAAAACTTGTCAATACAAAGAAGAGAGACTCAGGTGAGAATGCTACTTTCCTAAAGGTGAACATAAAAAATCGCAGGACATAAAAAGTGGGAAGTTTTTTATTGGTTTTTCTTCCTCACTCTCGAATAGGTGAACTTGGTTCGTTCAATTCTTAGGGAGAAGAAGGATGGGAATGAATGGGAAGACTGGAGTAGTCTCTTCATTAGCCGGAAGGAATTAGTCCCCACTAGCATCATTCGAAGAACGAACAAGAAAAAGCTTACTGTTTAGGTAGGATAGATCGATGTGGTCCAATGGCTAAAGCTCTGCCAGCTTCTTGTAGACTTACTTTAGGCTCCGAGTTTTTTTTTTTTTTTTTTTTATGGTGAAATTATTCTTCGCCACTAGTGGCAACAAAGTGTTATATTTTTTAGTATATAAGAAAACTATGTATACGTTACATAAAAGGTTTTTTTTTATTGAGATTTAGTTACCTAATTGTTTGAAATTTGAACATAGTTACACTTTCTATTCACGAAGTATATTGAAATTTAATTTAAGTATTATGCAATAATATTGTGCATTCCTCTTGAAAAAGGGACATGGAGAGTATCATTGTATTGGGTTTCTTGACCCTTTAGATTGGTTATTTGACTGCACCTGGTGAAAAAGTTTTATTAATTATATTAGGGGATGTTACTTTTGTTCTATGTAATAAATCTACAATATATTATATATCAGTAATTTATTTGTATATTGTTGTTTTTTATTGTTATGGTTAAAGTTGATCGAAGAACAATTAAGTTAAGTCAACGTGTATGAGAGAATGAAAATATGGTTCAACTAGATCGGACCCTAAGACAAAACCCGAAAGCATCCGAACATCACACGGAACTTCATGTCCTCATCGCCTTCAACCGGAGTCCAGAAACACCGTTCCCACTCCTTCGTTTCGCAAAATCTAGGGTTTGATTCTATATTTTCCCAATTTAAAGCCATCATCATACTAATTCCATCTCAATTTTTTGCTGCATAATCCAATCAACATTTGATTTCATCATGAGAACTCGAAAAGCAGACAATCCCAAATCGCCCCCTGCGGCAAAAAGAACCCCGCCGGCTAGAAAATCGGCAACTAAAACCCCTGCCACGCCACCACCCAATGCTTCCCGGCAATCAACATCTGAACCCACGGTTACTCCTAAGCGTGCTTCCCTCCCTAGAGGGAAGACCATGGCGACCAACGATACCACGCCAACAACTCCAGAAACACCAGGTACATAGTCAAACCTGAAACTTGATTCATGTATACCTTCGCCTTTTGTTTTCTTTATGTTCATAGTTCGAATGAATGATCAAGTCCAAAAAAGAAGTAGTTACTTTTGTTTTCTCCATAGTATTCCGTTTTTGCATATTCAATTTTCTAAATAACATGAAGGTATCATGATCATTATCATGGTAATCGTTATGTTGAATACCATGCAGTACATTCACTACCCTGCATCGATGTAAGTTCTAAGTTTTTGTGATGTTATGCATGCAGTTAGTGCAATAAAACCACAGGCTGACACAGTCAAGGCAACTCCGGGAACAAGGTCTGGAAGTAAGAGGACTGTTAAGAAAGTGGTTAAAAAGACTGTTATCAAGAAAAAACCTAAATTGGCTGATGCTAAGGCACAGCCTGATTTAGTTGCAGATGAAAACGATGATGAATTACTCACAGAAAAAGATAGTTTCGAGGAGGTGAAGGATATGGAACATGCAAAGCAGCAAGAATCTAGCCCAAGTGATGCTAAAAACTCTATCAAAGAGGAAGAACATGATGTTTGTATGCCATTAAAAGATGATGAAGATACTATGAAGGATGTTGAAGAGGGGACTGATGTTAAGCCCTCTGTTGAAACCTCTGATTTAAGAGATGTTGCAAAAGCCATTGATCATCAAGAACCAGAAGTGGATATGAAAGAAGACATGGAAACAAAAGAGAAGGAAAATAAAGAAACCATTGATGATAAATCCTTAAAGATCCATCAACCCTTTGTAGAAGCTCGAATAGAGGAAGAAGAGGAACCTGAGGAAGAACCCGAAGAGGAACCTGAAGTTGAGCAACTCATTAAGAATCAAGAAATCATCATGGAAAATGAGAAAAGAGTTGAGATTGAAGAGGAGCCTGAAGAAGAACCTGAAGAGGAACCTGAAGAAGAACCTGAAGAGGAACCTGAAGTTGAGCAACTCATTAAGAATCAAGAATTCATCATGGAAAATGAGGAAAAAGTTGAGATTGAAGAGGAACCCGAAGAAGAACCTGAAGAGGAACCTGAAGTTGAGCAACCGATTAAGAATCAAGAAATCATCATGGAAAATGAAAAAAAAGTTGAGATTGAAGAGGAACCTGAAGAAGAACCTGAAGAGGAACCTGAAGTTGAGCAACTCGTTAAGAATCAAGAAATTATCATGGAAAATGAGAAAAAAGTTGAGATTGAAGAGGAGCCTGAAGAAGAACCTGAGGAGGACCCTGAAGTTGAACAACTCATTAAGAATCAAGAAATCATCATGGAAAAAGAGCAAAAAGTTGAGATTGAAGAGGAGCCAATGGAATGTAATGATGATGAAGTTGAAATGGAGAAAGATATAAATGAAGAAGTAAAGGGAGAAGAAGCCCCACAAGAGCATGTATGCTCAAGTAATGAAGAAAAGAACAAACACAATGACATTGACAATGATGTTAATGAAAAAGAGAAAAAAGGTGAGATTGAAGAGGAGCCAATGGAGTGTTATGATGATGAAGTTGAAATGGAGAAAGATATGAATGAGGAAGTAAAAAGAGAAGAATGTCCACAAGAGCATGTATACTTAAGTGATGAAGAAAAGCACAAAGACAACGATAGTCGTGAAAAAGAGAAAAAAGTTGAGATTGAAGAGGAACCAATGGAATGTTATGATGATGAAGTTGACATGAAGAAAGATACAAATGAGGAAGTAAAAAAAGAAGAATGTCCACAAGAGCATGTATGCATAAGTGATGAAGAAAAGCACAAAGACAATGATATTCATGAAAAAGAGAAAAAAGTTGAGATTGAAGAGGAACCAATGGAATGTAATGATGATGAAGTTGAAATGGAGAAAGATCCGAATAAGGAAGTAAAAGGAGAAGAAGATCCACAAGAACGTGTATGCTTAACTGATGAAGAAAAGGACAATGACACTGACATTCATGAAGAAGATGACAAGGGTGTACAACAACAACAACAACAAGAGCAAAGTGAAACAAGGTTAGAAGAGGAACAAGCAGAATGTAAAATAGCTGTAGAGGAGAGAAAAAGAAGGAAAGAATTTGAGATATTTGTTGGTGGATTGGATAGAGATGCCACAGAAGAAGAAGTAAAGAAAGCTTTTCAGTATGTTGGTGAGGTTGTTGATATCCGAATGCATAAAGAACTTCCAACCAATAAAAACAAAGGATATGCATTTGTGAGATTTGCTAATAAGGAGCATGTAGCACGTGCTTTAGCCGAAATGAAAAACCCTGTTGTATGTTTATGGCTTTATGCTTCTCTTATAATATACTACTACATTTTTGTTTGTAGTATAAAATGCTAATAAAACTTGATTATTATTTATTTAGATACATGGAAAACGATGTGGAACTGCACCTAGTGAGGACAATGATACTTTGTTCTTGGGCAATATCTGCAATACATGGACAAAAGAAGCTGTAAGACAAACATCTCTCATTTCATTTTGACCCTTTTTCTTTCAATATGTGTGTATATGCTCCACTTTACCTTCAACTTTATTGCTTGTATCTGTTTTTTTTTTCTTTAGTCACACATCACTACTTTATTGCTAGTATCTGCTTTTTTACTATTTGTGTATCCATACAATATCTACCTTTTAACCTTTTCTTACTTTACACAATATCTACCTTTTAACCTTTCCCTACTTTACCCTTACCTTAATTGCTTTTATCTGCTTTTTTTTTTTTTTTTTTTCTTTAGTCGCACATTACTACTTTATTGCTAGTATCTGCTTTTTTACTATTTTACTATATGTGTATCCATACAATATCTACCTTTTACCATTTCCCTACTTTACCCTTACCTTTATTGCTTATATCTGCTTTTTTTTTGTTCTTTTTCTTTTTCTATAGTCATAACTCACAAACCAATCTTTATTCTTCTTTGTGAGCTGAATTTTCAAAGCAGTAGTTGTTGTAGTGTTCTAACTTAAGTAGATAACTTTCTAACAACATTGATATATTGCAAAACAGATAAGACAAAAACTCAAAGATTATGGTGTAGAAGGTGTAGAAAAGATCACACTTGTTTCTGATCCTCAACACAAAGGATTAAGTCGTGGGTTTGCATTTCTTGAATTCTCAGGACACCCTGATGCCATGCTGGCATTCAAAAGGCTTCAAAAACCTGATGCTATATTTGGTCACCCTGATAAAACTGTAAAAGTAGCTTTTGCTGAACCCTTGCATGAACCTAATCCTGAGGTTTTAAAAGAGATTAAATCTGTGTTTATTGATGGATTGCCACCTCATTGGGATGATGACATTGTTAGAGAATATTTAAAAAGTTATGGTGTTATTGATCGGATTATGCTTGCAAGAAATATGTCATCTGCTAAAAGGAAAGATTTTGGATTTGTTGATTTTACTACTCATGATGCTGCTATTGCTTGTATTGATGGGTTGAATAAAAGAGAATTGGGTCATGAGAAAGTAAGGTCACAATCTTTTTTTTTTTATCATAATTGATTCATTTCTACTTCTTTTTTTTTTTTTTTTTTTTTTTTTTTTGTTGCATGTTTTAAAGAGGTTTAATCTCAAAAAAGACCTATGTTTTGTGTTTTTTTACAGGTTAAACCTCAAGTTTATTTTTTGCTTGAGAAGATGTATTTTTTCATTTTTTCTGATCTGGGTCTTTTAGTCATTTTTTGTTCCGAAAAAAATTGTAAGATGTGAGGGGTTTTGGAGAAAAACTAAAAAGTTCAGGGTTTATTTGGAAGCATCTAGAAGGATGAGGGTTTTTTCGGAAAAAATGAAAAAGTACAAGGTCTTTTTCAGGCAAAAGATAAATTTGAGGTTTGATTCGGAAAAAAAAAACACAAAATATAAGGTCTTTTTTGAGATTAACCCTTTTAAAAATTTTGATTCTAGATTGTTTTGAAAATTTATCTGGGAAAATTACAAAAAGGGTTAATGTCATAACTCATAAATGGGTAACAAACTTTTTTTTTAATCTTTACAAAACACAATTGTTTTGCAAAAGTAGTATCTGATAAGCAACTGGAACTTTGTGTTCACAAAATATCATTATTTTAATGTTATTTTGTAAAGAAAAAAAAACCAAATAATTCGTTACCCACATTTATGGTAATTTTTTTAAAGCAAAAACACAGTTTCTTAACCCTTAAAAAGCCATTATATTTTGTGCAGTTTCATTGTTTAGCCACTAATAGTTTATTTTTTTTAATAAAAACCATTAAAGTTTCAGACATTTTTCCAAATTTACCGTTTTCACCTTCACATTTCACATGTAAATTTGTTATATCAGGCTTTACATGAAACACTCAAAATTAACCACTTTGACCTGATATATCATATCAAGCCAAAATGGTTAAATTCGAAAAACATCTGAAACTTTTATAGTTTTGTTGGAAAAAAAAAAAAAAGTATAAGTGGTTAAACCACAAAATTGCCCAAAATACAATGCTTTTTTTTTTTTTTTTTTTTTTCTAAAATCTGTAATCTACCCTATTTATTGTTTTTTAATTGCTTCAATTGTATAACAAATTATACATGTTTCTAGATTAAAGTGAAAGCAAGGCTTTCAAATCCTTCACCTAAAACTCAAGCTGTGAAAAGTGGAATAGCTGGAGGCTTTCGATATGGTCATGGAAATGGTGCTTCCTTTCAAAGAGCTGGTATATAAATTATAAAATAAAACACACTTTAATATAAAAAATATATGCAAGAAAAAATAAATAGAATACCAATGCACTTTATTTTTTTCACTCATACTAACAGCATACACTTACATTTCCTTACTTATAATACCAATATCTCAACTTTATTTGTTACATATTGCTATTATTAGCAAGGAAATGTAAGTATTTTTCTATTTTGTGTGAAGTAAAGAAAAGTGAAACTTTATTTGTTACAATTTGATCTTATAATATAGTGTTGAAATCTTAATTATATATAATGTTTTTTCAGGTAGGGGTTTTGGAAGAGGTCCATATCCTAACAACAATATGGAATTTCCACGAGGTGGCAGAGGTCTCTATCAACATGGTCAACATGGTCAAACCAGTAGAATGGGTTATACAGAGGATTACCCGCCAGCTGGCGCTCATCCTTCTTTCAGAGGGAGACATGATTTTAGACAAGGTTATTGAGTAATCTTTTTGAATATTTATCATTGGTTTTTGTGTTACTTTTCTTTTATTCCATGATTCATTATAAAGAATGACATCCATATCCATGAAGAATAATTAGTTCATTCCATTCCATTCCATTCCATTCCATTCCATCATATAAAATAAAACAGGCTTGTCTTTCTCTTTCCATTCCCAAGAAGGAATGAACAATTCCATTCCCATCATAACACATAGCTAGCTACCAATTGATATTCTGCAGGAGGGAGGTGGAATAATTTCCGGGGTCCACATCAGCAATCTCAAGGCCCTATGCCATTCCCACCTAGATATGATGATGATCATCATCATCATAATCATAATCATCATAATCATCATCATCATCCTATGCCTATGAGAGGGCCACCATTTATGCCTGAAGAACAATTCTACAGACCTTATGAAGACCCCTACATATATGGAGATTCCTCACGTGGTCTAAAACGTCCTTATTATGCAGTATGTTATGTTCACTCCTTTTTTTTTTTTTTAAAGTTAAATTCAAGAAACAGCAACATACTTCTCTTGATTTGCTTATTATAGCATCCTACTGCAATTTTTTATTTCTATTACAACATTGTAATTAAAAATTTTGGGTAATTTTTTGAAGTATAATGTTTTAATAAGAAAAAAAATTGAAAGTACAATGCTATAATTGGATAAAAAGTATTTCAGTTAAACTTTTTGTTGGTTTTTAGGAGCAGGATCCTGTGTATATGGAGCATAGTAGAGTTCGGCCTCGTTTGGATTACCCTGAGCCTCCAAATTCAGCTCCTGCATCTCATTTAAGAGGTTTTCTTTTTTTCTTTAAAAAAAGAAAAAGAAAATCAATAATTAAATGTTTATGTGAAGCCTAATTTTTTAATTATTATCCTTCTGTTATTGTAGGAGGTGGTAGTGGCATGCATTCACGAGACTACTATGATAATAATAATTATGATGTGAGTAATATTTTTCATTTAAACTTGAATTGCACTTTCAAGTTATTATTATTTTTTTCTTTTCTTATCAAGGCATTGTACTTTGAAAAATCTCTTTAATTATAGCAATGAAAATTGCTTTGTATAATATAATTTAAGAGATTTTTCAAAGTACAATGCTGTAAATAATCCAAAGTTAATTAAAGAGAATGCTATTATAAACAAATTCTATTTTTTTTTTCTTATTAAAACATTACACCTTGAAAACTCTACCTATTTTTCTTTTCAAAGTACATTAAGAAATCCAATATAATCAATTTTCTTAAAAAAATTTTAAAGTTTTTGATAATCTTATTTATTGCAGTATGAGGGTCCATATTCATCTTACTATGGTGGTGGTGATCAGCGGCCTTATGGTGGCAATCAACCTTATGGAGGGCGATATTATTATTAAACTATTTAACTATTGGTAAAATAAAAAAAAATAAAAAATTCTAAACCTGTCTTTATTCTTTAATTTTCCAAATTTAATTTCTTTGTATAATTCTGATTCTTTTTTATCTTTCAACAAAATGTGTCCAGGTGTACAAGATTTGAATTGCTGTGCTGGCATGTTCTTCTCTCTCTCTCTCTCTGAAGGAAAGCCCTTTAAAATCTTTTTTTTCTTTCCTTTCCTTCTCAAGTTGTTTGTTGTCTTCCATGGCTTTCTTAGACACATATATATTGGGAGGTTAATCTTTAAGATATGATGAAGGATTTTAGTCTTCTAAGTAAGATGTTAGGTATAAATCTGGGATCAGATATTAAGTGAGAAAGGTAAAGATTTGAAGTAAAATAGAATCTAAGCCCTGTAGATGAGACTTGTGGATATTGTGAAATCTGGAAATAATACTCTTTATGGATTGTATGTTTTATAACAAGTGTTCAAAGTTCAAACAGTATCTTTCACTTAATGTTCTAAAGGTTTCTGGTATGTTGAAGGACTTGTAACAACTTTTTATAAGGATTAGGATTTGATCATTTTTGGGTGTTATTTCAAGAAAATAAGTTGAATATGACTATGTTATTTCATACTTTGAGAAATGAATGTCTGAATTAAGGCTTTTACAAGTGTCACTTGTCTTAGGGATTGATTGTAAGGTTGAAAATAAGGTTTCTATTAGTAAATATACATGACATGACATGATAGAAGAATATGGAGTCTGGTTTAGTTATTTCCTGTAGGCTTGTAACTTGTTATAGCTTCTTTTGCATTGAAAAGGTATTTTTGTTGGAGAAATAGCAACCTACTTTATCCTTATATATATATATATATATATATATATATATATAGCGATGTATGTACATTTTTTTTTCAACTGATTGTAACATCTTTTAACCTGAAAATGATGACATGGCATAGTTGTTTCCATGTCATTTGCCATGTAAGCAGATGGGAATTTTTCTTAAATTTAAGTAAGTTATTGAATATTATTTATGTTATGGTAAAAGTTAAAGCGATGAAAAGGAAAAGTACATTGCTATATTTTGCAATTTATCTTTTCTTGTAAAGTTTAAGTTCAATTCTTTGCTGTCCATGGTTCCAAATTTGTAGGTTTCGGCTTTTGTCTGGCCTCATTCGAAGCTCTCTTAAAAGTATTTGTTATATATATTTTTTAGGTAGAGAATTTAGAAGCATATGATGTATGTATATTTGTGTGAATTAATAAAATACATGCATTTATGGTTTGTTGCAACTTTTGCTATCAAATATTGGTTGTCCTTCCCTTTACTTGTATCAATTGGATTGATGATTAGTTCTATTTATGTAGATGGTTGATCCTTTTTTGTGCAAAAAACGTATTCCCTAGTTTCTTTTGGTAAATGTATTAATAAATTTATGATTTTAATGTCTAAAAGTTTTATAAATTTATATCTTTTAGTAAAATTTGCAAGTTATTATATATATCGTTGGCTACTAATGTAGAGTTTCTTAGAGAAATTAAATATCCTTTTTACTTTTTGTTCCAAATATCTTCCTAATTATTATTTTAGATGATGAGAAGTGTTATTCGATTCAATTTAAAGTGGAATAGGATGTTAAATTTGTAGATTTGTCATCACTTAAATCGATAGGAAGAAAAATACAAAAGTTAAGAATATATTAATTTCTCTTTAGCTTATGACATGCAATGGTTACTTGAAACACTGAGGAAGTAATGATTGTAGGAGTTACTTAAAACATAACTCCTACTAATCTTCCAAATTATATTCCTTCATAATTCCACCTTCACCTTCATTGCAATTTGATGTTTATTTTAGGGCAATGACTTTCGTTAAAACTTTATAATCATGATTTTTTTTCTTGTTTAATTTTTTCTACATTTTTTCGATGTTCTCGTTCAACCCATGGAGCCCTGATCTTGTATCCTCACCATCACTTTAAAGAACCTTTTGACACCCTTTTGCTTTCTCTTAGGCTTGATCTCTTCTCATAGACTGGTTCGACATCGAAACATCATAATGTTTCTCTTCGTTGTGGTTTAACCCAATATGTGCATCGGAATATTGGCTATTGTTTTAAGATGTTTTGATTCTTTTCGAACCATCTGTGACATCTTCCGTTGTTTGAAGTTTAAGCCATTTTTCTTTATCCTTCAAAAATAACCAAAAGTCAATAATTTTGAATGCCTTCTTTGCGGTAACATTCTTGAGTTTTCTTTGCGGTAACATTCTTGAGTTTTGGCCAGGATATATGTATCGTTAGCACCGCTTGGAATTTGGATTGGCTTGCTCGATATGTATAATATGGATCCTTTCCGGGATAGTGATACATTGGTGGTAAAAAGATGGGTACATCAAGTTGAGTCGGTAGACCAAATGTGACAGATGGTTTGATAAAGGGTTTCAAGATCCTTTTTATTTATTCTTGGAGTTTTTTTGTTGGTTAGTAGAAGACATTTTGAGAAATAAGGAGGGCTTGAGAGAAAAAATTGATATTGAAGGTTATGGTGCGATAAAATGGGAGGTTAATATGTATATTTACAGTGATTAAAAAAAATTTGAATTTAAAAAAAAACGGTTAGTGAAATATGAATTGGAGTAAAAAAAGTGGTAAAAATATATAATCTCTCTCTCTCTCTCTCTCTCTCTCTCTCTCTCTCTCTCTCTCTCTCTCTCTCTCTCTCTCTCTCTCTCTACAATGTCATTTAACCCCTCCACTGGGCATGCCACTATGGTAGGGCGTTGTGCATCAAACATGTTGAGCCACTCCCTCAAGCCTAAGGAGTAGATTGCATTTGTCTAAAATGGTAATATTTGTCTTTTTTATTGTTTTATAAAGGGCATATCTTAGAAAAATCCAATATATTTTTATCTAGTTCTTTGAAAAACCATTATATTATTTCTTGAGTGAATTAAGAGGGTGTTTGGAAATGGTTATTTAACTAATTCAACAAACATTTCTTGATAAAAATGCTTATTAGCTTATGTTGTGAAAAAATTGAGATTATAAAAATGTTTAGATTAATCTATATGATAGTAAGAAGCTACAATTTGATAAGCGCGCTTCAAAAATAATGTTTAGATAAGCTTATATAATCATTTAGGGTGAATAAGTTATAAGTACTTTTCAAAATTAGGAGTGTGTGACTTTTTCAAAACTCATTTATAAGGGAGTAAAAGATGTTTTCAAAATCTATTTTCTGTTTCCCAGACATTTTTTTAAAAGTGTGTTGGCTTTTTGAAAAAACTAATATTTGAAAAAACTAGTAAGGTAATATGTATTTTTCAAACTCAATCTCAAACACCTTTTAAAATATTTTATTGAAAGTCTAATTTAAAGCTTTCTAACATAAAAAAAAAAACCAACCTATTTTCATCCGACTATAAAAAATTGTTATATTTTTTCCAGTGTGTTAAAAAATCTATATTTTCTTTTTTAATATAAGGGATTGTAACAAGAAATTCTTTTTATGGTTGTATAGGTTTATCGGCCTTAAAACCTTTAATTAGACAATTTAAAAAATAAAGGGGTTTTTAACATAATAAAAATAGAGAAATTAACTAAACAAACCAAATGTTTATGACAATTAAAGAAGATAGTCATACATATTTTTTTTTTTTTTTTACAAAATAACCACCTTCTTTGGAACATTGCATTCTAGAATAGAGTTCGGAATGTGGAGTAGCCAATTCGGAGTGCCCATTTCCTTAGAGAGTAAATTCCCACAAATATTCATTTCAAAGTTAAGAGTCTAAACAGGCTAACACTAAAATAAATTGCACAACCAAATTTCAACCTACTTTTTAATCCTCACTTACTGCTTTATTATCACACCAACACCCACCTAACTAGTTATGATTTCTTATCTACCACTTAAATTCATTAGATTTCCCACATACCTTCATATTCAAAACTTACTTAAATCAGTTTTGATCCTAAAATAATTTACACCAAAACCCATTAACTCCTCGAACAAAATGTCTTCCGACCGGTCGAAATTCATTCCCAGCGCATGTAGTTCATAAAATCCAAAAGCAGAATATAAGGAACTCGAGCAACAAATGTAGGGTAAGCTACGAGACATTAAAGAAAAGAAAAAAAATGGACAATGGATATAAAGAAAGAGTATTGGATAAAAAAAAACTTGAACGTGAGCGTGAGACTGTTGACTGTAGAGTATGAGTTTTGGGAAATTTGTGAGAAAATACATGGAATAACAGAACAAATTTATGGTTTTAATGATTATTTATTTATGTTTTTATGGTAATTTCATTTAATGATCATTTATGAGAAAATACATGAGTTTTTATGGTCATTTCTTATGTTTTTATGGTGCGAAAATACATGAGTTTTTATGGTAATTTCTTTAGGTTTTTATAGTGAGAAAATACATGAGTTTTCACCAAAGGAAGATATGTATCCTAACTACAGCCAAAATCCAAAATACATGCCCATAATATGTCCTCCGAAGTTTGGATAGTCTGTTTACTCTGACCATAAGTTTGCGGATGAAAAGCCGTGCTGAAATGTAGACGAGTACCCAACTCCTCGTGGAATCTCTTCCAGAACCTGGAAGTAAACCGAATATCCCTATTAGAGACCACAGAAACCGACACCCTATAACGTGCCACCACTTCTCGAATGTAAATATCGACCAACTTCTCGGCCGAAATGCTCTCCCAGATCAAAATAAAATGCATGCTCTTAGTCAATCAACCCATGATGAGCCATATCGAATCCACTCCGTGCGCCATCCTAGGCAATTTAGTGATAAAATCAATTGTAATATCTTCCCATTTCCATATAGGGACTTCCAACGACTCCATTTTTCCATGGGGTCGTTGGCGCTCGGCCTTGACTTTCCTAGCAAGTCAAGCACCTCTCTACATACCACATGTGACATCCCCAATTTCACGGCCAGAAAAGACCGATTTGTTTATGCTTTGTTTTTATAAAATCAGAGTAATCCTTTGATTAAAAGAGTTGCGGAATTTGTTCCCAAAATAAAATATGATAAAATAAAATTTATCAAAGCATTTCTTAAAGAAAATCTATTTTCATTAAATAACAAAATCCCGGGATGTCATGTTCCGATACAAACCAAAAACATAAACAATATAAAATAGACCTTACAACAGTTATTTATAACGACTGATCTATAATCTAAAATCTCTTGTCAGGTCCACCAACTTATACTCTTGTTCCATTACCTGTAATGCAAAGAAAACTGAGTGGGTCAGGCTTGGGAGTTTGGTGAGCATATAGGGTTTTCAACCCGCAATAATACATTTATTATATTCAATTATCAAATAATCAACCCAAATACCCATCCTCATATCTCATTTATTTTCTCAAGGGTTTCCCCTAAGAACCAACTATCCTTCATTCATTCATTCTTAAGGATTTACCTTAGGAACTGACACAAAGTCCATTTGCTACCACGGTTTATACAACAGACACTACGTCACATAGTCACCAGGGTTCATACAATAGGCACTACGTCTCATAGTCACCAAGGTTTACACAATAGGCACTACGTCGCATAGTCACCAGGGTTTACACAACGGGCACGTAGTCACATCGTCACCAAGGTTTATCAAATAGGCACAAAGTCGCATCGTCACCAAAGCTTACTCAATAGGCACGACGTCACATCGTCACCAACTATTCCATCTAGCCATGTTCTACCCAACATTTTTGTATATATAAATAAAAACACAGTTTAAATCATTTAACACCCGTATAAAAACATCAATTCCAAGCCCATCTCAAATAGACAAAATAATATATAACACATAACACGTATTTCATAGCTAATACTTTATATTTATGTGTTAGAAGAAAGTAACTATACACTCACTTGATCAGAAGATGATCGGACAACACTACGACTTGTAAAAGTAGTATTCTTCGGTAGATCTGGAAGATCTTCACAAAAATCGGGCTCCTGGCGGGCAGAACTTCGGCTTGGGAATTTCACTTCTCGGGATCTTCAGGGCCTCGGGACTTGCTTCGGGGCTCGGGAATGATACCGGGGCTTCGGGATATTTCTTGCACGAAAAACGATGCAAAAACGCGAGAGAAAGGGAAGAAATGAGCAAAGAACTCGGTTGCCTTCGCATCCCTTTTATAGGGTCTGAACCACCAAATTACGCTGGGCATAATTAAGGTTACGCTGGGTGTAATCTGGATAAGCTCGCTGACTCCCCCCTTTGGATAATATCGGAAATTTATATTTAAATTTAATATCGAATTTATTTAATAAACTTCAAAAATTCATATCTCCTTCATACGAACTCCGTTTTCAACGTTTTTTTATATCCCCGCGTAGGTGAGACTACGCTCTACAACATTCGTTCAGACTCCGTCGGCTAATTTTGAATTTATTTTTATTATTTATTTTTAGTAGGTCAGGACAGGAAAACTCCGTTATAAATTCATAACTTCTTCATCCGACGTCCGTTTTCGCTTATCTTTTTATCGTTTCACTACTATTAACGAGATCTTCGATTCTTGTTTAGATTGTTTCGGCTAAAAACCACTCGATCTCAAACCGAGTATTCGGGCTGCATACCGCTAAGTCGAAACTTAGAAAAATCATAACTTCCTCATACGAAGTCAGATTTTGACGTTCTTTTTATGCACGCTCACGGTTTAACGTATTCTACGACTTTCGTTTAGATTGCTAAAGTTAAATATTGCTCCAATGTAAATTCACTTTTTACGTCACGCTGTGTCGTACCGGTTTTGTCGCGAAACTTCGACATGTTATAACTTCTTCGTTATAACTCGGATTTCGGCGTTCTTTATATGCACGAAATCCTTGTAACATATACTATAACTTAAGATTACTCATTCTAAATAATCTTTCATCAAAAAGTCATTTTTGACGCTTATCGTCTCTAAATTGACTAGCTCTGATCTACGGGCGTTACACCACATGTCTTGCTTAATAAGCAATAATCTCTAATTAAAAAATGTTTCAATCTACTAAAATAACTTAAAATAAATGTAAGTATAACAACCTCTTTAGCTTCATTATAATCATTTACATCACACACATCAACATCAAATTTGTTCTACTACAACCCGCATTCTCATTCCTCTCCTCCAACTCCTACATTAAAATTAACACATTATAGTTATTAACTAAAGAGACCAATTAATTATTAAAATCGTAACTGTAATATATATAATAACCTTGTCGTCTTCAATATTACAAAAACATTTTCATTTATATTGTTTTTATTCATCACTTCATCTTCTACAACCTACATTTTCAAATATAAAATAAGAACACAAATTTTCAAATATGTTAATAAAGTATAAAAAAAAATGTAGCGTGTAACTTACCGGTTGATGAAAATTTGTTTGGAATACTGCAGGCTCCTCAAAACTGATGTTATTCCGTAGATCTTCATTATTCACTTCTTCAACAAACACATATGTAGGTTCTCGGTTCATAAACACTTGTTGCTTCAGTGCACGTAGTCATTTCAACACCTCCTCTAAGCTGGGTTTCCCACTACACCCACCTCTACCCTGAGAGAGACCACCAGACGACATACTAGATGAATATTCGTCTTGTCTCCTAAAATGGTTCCGTACTGCGGATGGAACTGATTTCCGTTCACCATATACATACTCTTGAAATGACATATAATAACAAGATTTCATCTCATCATCACTCGGTGATATTTTATTTCTTGGTGGTTGTCCCTCCTAAAAACTTGAACATTGTTGCATATAAAAGTATAATAATGAATTTTATTAAAAATAATTTTTTTATAAACCTGTGTCTTTGAAAATATATTGTTCACATCAACCCATTTCAATTTTTTTTGTGCCACTCCATCGTTTCATTCGGGACATGTCTCTATTTTTTCTCAATACAAATCCATAGGCATGAATAGCCGGAAGCATCTCATATATCTATATCTATAATTTTTACAATTACAGTAATAAAAGTTAATTAAATTAAAATAACTAACATAACAGTAAAACCATTTAAATATAAATAATTTTTTATACTCTAAATGGAGTCGTAAATCTTGAGACGGAGTATTTTAAAGTTTGACGACGCTCAGACAGTGATAAATATTTATTTATCTTGTTCCACATATCCTCAAGATCCTCATAGGTAAAATCCTATAAATAGCTACCCAAGCAAAACTATCAAAACAAAAAAATATTAGTTATTATATACATTAACATTAATAATATGAAACTTTCAAAGTAAACAAAAAATACATGTTCTAGACATCCAAATTCTCAGCCAAAAAATATCAATCTTGTGGCACCCGATCATTTATTTCTTTTCCGAAAAAACTTTCACACAAAATGTATATCAAATATACTCTAACTGCATCAGCGTCACCAACTTCTAAGAATGATTGATTTAAAATAAAACTTTTCAGGTCACCGATTTTTCACCGAACTATTTGTATGGTTCGGAAATAGCCATTCACTCAATAAACATCTTTTTTTACTACTAACTATTTTTTCTGACACTTTTTTCCCGATATTTTTAGGATACTCCCAAAAATTCAACCCGGTTATCAAACAAACTCTTTCGGGCCATATACCATTTTCGTATCACCCACTCTAAAATATAACCGTTTTATTCTATCTGGAGATAAAACAACGTCCGACTGTATCTGATGAAGAAACATCTTGTGGAATAACAATCCGTCCCCTTGTAAACGAGAGACATCCAACAAGAAACCAAATACCGTATATCTAAATATATCACGTCTGACACCGTCTAACACATCAAATACTTCCCATATATTACACCCCGATCCTTTTAAGTTGACAATAACTTTAACGTTGAAATTATTATAATCAGGTTGCATAAAAAACAACAACATATTAGAAAACTAAACAACTATTTCATTTTAAAATATCAGATTATTAAATGCAATAATAATCCAACATTCAAATTACAAACCAAAACAATGCAAAAACCAACATTTAATCAATAATTTCTATATTTACATTGAAAAACAATAAAATACTATAACAAATTTCCAACTTAAACGGCAACTATATACAATTTCCAAGTTATACGACAAGTATACAAGCAATTTTTAACTTTCAAATTAAATAAAATAATATATTCTAACCATACTATAACAAAATTTCAACTTAAACAAGTATATAAAAATTTTCAAGTTATATGACAAATATACAAACGACTATTGTAAACATATTGTAAACATTATTATAATCATTTTTCAAGTTATACAATCACTTATACGATAAGTATATACAATTTTTTAAGTTATACAACAACTATACAAACGACAAATAACATATTCTAACCATGCTATATCAATTTCTCAGCTTAAACCATTAACCAAACATATTGTAAACATTATTGTAACAATTTATTTAACTTTGAACTTAAAAAAAAAAAGAACATATTCTAACCATTTTACTAAATGTACAACTAGTCAATGCACATTTTATGCAGTCTATATTTGTATATTCATACAACCACTAACAAAATAACATTAATACTTCAAGTTTACTAATAAATAATATTAAAGCTATCAAACACAAAAAAATTATCCAATCACAAACAATATAATTTAATTTTTTTACACTAACTAATACAATAAATAATAATATAATAAAAACATATACTAAATAAATGTTAATTAAAACATAAAAAAAAAGTTAAAATCTAACCATATTTTCAGGATTATTGAAAAAATCATTTATTTTGTTCAATAAATCGTCACATGGAATCGCCGAAAGAGAGTTTTTCTATATTGAAGAGTGAAAAATGAAGGAAAAAAAAATATTTTTATAATTTTTTTTATGTAAAATCGTAGGTGCAACAACAATTTCGCAGATGGACTATTCCATCTGTGAATGTACAAGTGTTTAAAGCATAACTGTACTTTATACGTTTGTACCTTCGGAGATGGAAGGGTAAAATCGCAGATGGCTCATTTCCATCTACGATTTAGGTGGTTATTTTGAAATCTTTTTTTTTTTTTCGGTTAAATTTGTAAATTAATTAGTAAAAATGATTATTTTTGCAATTTTCTAAAAATAAAATCCCAAATGTAGCCCAATAAAACTATAGCCCATTAATAATCCAGAAGAACAAAATACCAATCGGCAATTTGGCATCAAACGTGAGGCTACAAGATTGTACGCGTGCTATATTTATCTGCTCAATCAATATTCATACTCCGGCGACCAGTTCACCGGAAAACGAAATCCATTACGATCTCTCCCGCAGATCAAAAGTTGTAATTCATGTCGTCTACTTTCAGCGGCGATGAAACGGCTCCGTTCTTCGGCTTCCTCGGAGCCGCAGCAGCCCTCGTTTTCTCCTGTAAGCTCAAACCCTAAGCTCAAATTTCATTACTCATTACTCATTGATGCAACATCTCTGTAAATAATATAACTTTTTAATTGGATCTAAAGGTATGGGAGCGGCGTATGGTACGGCGAAGAGCGGCGTTGGTGTTGCCTCGATGGGAGTGATGAGGCCGGAGCTGGTCATGAAGTCGATTGTGCCGGTTGTTATGGCGGGAGTGTTAGGTATTTACGGATTGATCATTGCTGTTATTATTAGTACCGGAATCAATCCAAAGGCGAAATCTTATTACTTGTTTGATGGTTACGCTCATCTGTCATCTGGTCTTGCTTGTGGTCTTGCCGGACTTTCCGCCGGAATGGCCATTGGAATCGTCGGCGATGCCGGTGTTAGGTAGAGTATTCCTTTACATTGATTTCATCGTTATTTTATTGCGTTTCTGTTTGATATTCTTTGAAGTCTTGTGTATACCAATCCTCATAAATTGTTAGCTAGTAATTAGGCAATAGATTATCAGATAAAGTTTAAGAACTTTTGCTTCATTAATGGCAAATCGTGACTGGATTTGATTCATAGAACACAATTTGTGGAACTATTGCATCCATTCAATTTGTTTCACGAACTAAACTATGCGAATCACAAGTTTTACCTTAGATTTCTTGCTGAAGAAAATACTAATGTGATTAATTTGAATGATGTGATTAGGGCAAATGCACAGCAGCCAAAGCTTTTTGTTGGAATGATTTTGATTCTTATCTTTGCTGAAGCACTTGCATTATATGGTCTCATTGTTGGCATCATTCTCTCTTCGCGTGCTGGTCAATCCAGGGCCGATTAAGTCATTTTACAATTTCTTATCCTTCCATTATCAGGTTAGTTTCACCAGTGTTCAGAAGGATTCAAAATCATGCTTTTATATTTGTGTTGTTAAATTGTTTGTTAGTTATTAAACTGGATGACACTTTTGCCCTTGAATAAAGCCTTAAAGCTACCATTGTTTATTTTCTTATTTTGTATCATAAATACATGAAGGTGAAACGGTGTATGATTATTTATTTATTAAGCTCATTGTTAGGTGTTGTTTCTTTTTGACTTAATGGGCACAAAAGGGTAAAATAGTCATTGTGGCAAAACATTTGAACATAAAGTTTAAATTTGTCATTTATCCTTCAATAAGTTTAAAAAAAAGATACTTTTGTTTCATACAACACTTCCCTTACACCAACTTTATTTATCCATATAACACTTGATTGAGAAAAACAAACAAGCCATCTTCCAAAAAGTGTATATATAAAGGGTAAAATAGTCATTTATTTTTGTTCAGACACTTCATTAAGTCCAAAAACTTTCATTATACATACATGATTTATGCCCTCTTCCAGAAATTGTGAACATAAATATTACTACTAATTTAATAAAGAGAAATTTATATCATGGAAAACCAATGAAGATTTGTAAATTAGGAAAATCCTGAAAACTTAACATAAACAATGTTATTAGACTTGGTTATCATGAATGTAAACATTTAATTGTAACTCATGATTTAACACGTGTTAAAGAAAGTTTCTAAATTATATTGTAATCTGTAAAACAATGTTTTCAATATCTGCGATTGCACATTGAATTTTAGTAATTGAATTCGAGTAGTAAAAAAGTTTCTAAGCAATTATATTGTAATTTAGAATCAAAGTCTAGAAAAAACAAATGAATAAATGTTCCACCACTGAGGCATTCTTTAAGTGGAGTGTTGTTTTTTTGAATGATGCTAACATGTTATGAGTTCAAGTGATTATAGCAATACATGCTAACATGCAAAGATCTAATTCTAGTCTTGTAATATGTTGATATACCTAATTGTCTTAGTACCCACATCTATTGGATTAAACACAACTAGTGGTTTGACAATATTGTGTCTTAGATTAAACCATTACAATGTTACACATTAGATATTAAAAATAGTTGAATATTGTATGTTGATTCAACGAATAGTGTTAATTGAACTCGAAACGGTGCATGAATTAGCAATATAGTATTTTAATTAAAATAACAAACATCGCAATAAAACACAAAATTAAGTACTTTAGACGAATGATTAGCAAAAAACACAACAATACTATATAATGGTAATAACCGAAAAAACACAACATATCGATCTTGAAAACATAGCGTTGAAAGACAAATACTTGAATTAGAGGGTTATATATTTATATGATGAAAATAGGATTAAAAGAGTAAGAGTTGGAAAATGATTAAAAAAAACTAAAAAAATAATGATTTCTAATAAAAATAAGAAACCTTGGATCCAAAAACCGGAGACCTTGGCTTGAAAACTAGAGGGGTCCTAATTTTGGGTGTTATGTGAATACTAATCAGAGTAGCTAGCTCTAAAAATGATAGGGCTTTGGTTGATGGTTTAAATGTCAGAGTGCTTAAAGGTAAAATCGGAATGGTTTGGGGGCGAGGTCTTCGATTGGCAACTAAAACACACGGGTTAAGATGTGTAAATGGATCAACATAGGTCAAATGTGGATCCATATGCAAAGAAATGTTTGCCTAGGGTGCAAACGAGCCGAGTCGAGCCCAAGCCTAATCAAGCTCAACTTGGGTTTGTTTAAGTTATAAGGGTCTCATGCTCGATCTCGTCTCGATTCGAGCTTTGTAGTATGGAGCTCGGGCTCGAGCTCAATTCGAGTTGTGTAGTATGGAGCTCAGCTCGGGCTCGTTAAGAATTATATAAGTTTAGGTCGGCTTGTTTATTGTCTGACAAGCCTAAATAAAGTTAAGTTTGGTTCGAACTCGTTAAGATACTCGTTTACTAATACCTTAAATCCATAATTCCTGAAATATGTTTTTGTTTTAACATATAAAAATAATAAACAATCGTATTATATATATATATATATATATATATATATATATATATATATATATATATATATATATATATATATATATATATGTTCGTTTAGCCTCGCGAGCCTGTTCGAGCTTGTTTAATAAACAAGCCTAATAGTTAGCTCGAGCTCAGCTCAGACTCGTTTAAATTTGGTCTCGAGTCAAGCATTTAACGAGCTGATCTCGAGTAGCTTGACTCGTTTGCATCCTTCAAACGCCTTCCTTTATGATTCTTCATTTCATATTTCCATCTTTTCACCCTTAATATGATGATTTTGTTTTATTTAAACTAATTTATCAATTTCATCAAAATTAGAAAATAATTAAACAATCATTTCCCAATATGTCACAATTAGGAATTTTTGTGCCTTGTAACCAACACTTAAACCAAATTATGAATCAAAAACATAAGAGCATGTATGATGCATACTCTATGACAGCAGAACTTCAATCAAACACCCCATGCAAGCAATTCAAATAGTCATTAAGCAATTGGAAACCCTAGAAGTTCTTGTTTAAGTCCATTTTTGGACTAGGACTTCCTTATTGGGCCCAATGGACCAATAAGCTTCCAATTTGGCTATCTTGGGCTTAGAACTCTTAAATGGGCTCTAATTGGATCCACTTCCATTTAATTTAATATTTTTGGCCATAATGGGCCTAGAGGGTAATGGATTAATTATATGAACCATTTTGGATCATAATTAACCTAATCTAGCCTAATAGGTCATAAAAATCACATTTATATTTTTTTTAGGGCCAAAAATCATCTAACCTAACTATAATATGGGCTTAAGGGCAAAAAGCCCAAAAACCTCCTCTCACCCTCCCCATTCTCGGCCCAAGCCCAAAAGAACAGGAGAGTCGACTTTGTGAGTGCCACCTCACAATTGTTCAAGGGACTTCCATGCAAGGAGACTCAAACTTCCATGCACTCACATACTTTCATGACTAGCTAACTCTTTTTTTTTTCTCTCTCTCTCTCTCTTGCTCTCGGCCGAGTCCAAGCACACACACACACACATTTCACTCTCCTTTCTCTCAAGGAAATTCTCTCATATCTCATCCATATTTCGAGATCTAAGGAGGATTCAAGGGGATTTTTACACAAAAATCATCATTTAAGGTAAGAAATCTCTTAGATCCTTAAGCTAGCTACTTCATTTCATCCAAAAATCACCTCTTAATTCATTCAAACTCATGATCTAGCACCTAAGAAGCATCCAAGTTCGAAATCTTCCAAGGAAGGATGCTAAGGCCGAATTTCTTCTCATTTTCTTCCAAAAATCGAAACCACACCCAAAGTTGAGCTTCATACCCCCTCTTTTTCGGTTTTTATAAGTTTTTGTGGGGGAGAATAAAAGCAAATGTGTAGATCTATGAGTATATGTATGCATTGTGTGATTTTTATGCTTATATGTATGATCTTATGTGATTGTGATGTTTATACTAGTCAAAAGAACTTAAAAATCGAGATCTACAATAAGAAGAATGAAATAAGTATAACTTTTACCATTTCACACTAATCAAGTATAGAAAAATAACCTAGTTGGTTAATATGAACATTTTTGGACTTAAAACCCATTTTTGGGCTCAAAATGGCAAAAATACAAAACTAAGGGGTCCAAAACGACAAAATATAAATTCTGAAGGTTGAGATGAGTCTAAACAGTTTCTAATATGTATTTTCTGAATATCAACACTTTCGAAGGGTTAAAAATGTGAATTTTAAACCTAATGGGCCAAAATGGGCTTTTCGGCCCAATGAAGCCCCAAATTGAGAGATTTTTTATTTGGAGGGGCTGAAACTGCACATTTCTGTAAAACAGGGGATTACTTGTGTACTAAAACTATTTCAAGGGCCAAAAATGCTTTTCAAATTAAAAAGGGACCAAAGATGCAAAAAAATTCCATCTTGGGCCAAAATTGGAAAAGTTGCGAAAATGGAGGTTTCTACCGAGAAAATTTCATTTTTGAAGGACTCAAGCTGTTTATCAAGTAAATTTGTGCTAAAAATGTCTTTCCAATAAGTTTTGATACTAAAGTGTCAAGAAAAATAGTTTAAGGACTAAAATGGGAATTCTTTTATACACAAAGGGTTCGAAGTGTAAATTTTATCCAAGAAGGGCTTAAAAAGATAAACTCTAATTCTTAAAACAACAAACCCCTTAAAATAAAAATACGAGTACTACGTCTAGCGGCGATACGTAATAATAATTACACTTTCAACACCAATATCGTTACCAAACGAATTGATTCAATCTCGAATCAATAATGAATCAAAAATCAATAAACAATGGTACTTCAATACACACGTGGTAATTTACGAGAAGTCAATACACAATCTTTGGGCTCGAAAGTTTCAAATCGTGCTTGTTGGGCCTAGTTAGCCCAATGACATGATCTTTCGGCCCGAAGGGAACGCGCTTACATGTTATTGGGCCTTATACAACCTAATTCCGTGTAAAAGGACTTTCAATAGCTTTATTGTGCTGTTGGGCCCCAAGGGTCCTTTGGTACTGCTAGCAAAGTCGAGAAGTCAAATGCGAGTCGGGCCAAGTGCCTTTCACATTCACGATAGCCTTGAACGACTTATGGAAATAACGGGGGCTTCGTAGCCTCTTTTCTCCTCGGTTGTGGGGCTATGAGAAGTTAGGGTGGTTGGATTAAGTGAGTAGTACGGATGACGCCTAAGGGACGTTTGTATTTGTTAGTTGTAAACTAGTCATTTTCATTAATGCGTGATTATAACGACCCACAACCCATAATTAATCCAATGTCACCTGGAATTATCGAAAACAACGTCGTATCGGAATAACACAAACTAAGCCACGTAATTTGATGTATTGGGAAAACATCGGGTTTTCCCCGGGGAATTCAACACTCTTAACTATGTGATGTATACAAAGTTTAACAATTATTCACGTTTACAATAATCAACAAGCATACTTACGGATCTTCACACATTTTTTTTTATATACAACACTTTTTTTTTTAGAAAATATCGGATTTTCTGTGGTTTTCAAAACTATACAAATCATTTCTTTTCAAACCTTACTTATAAACTCACCAACATTTCATATGTTGACGTTTTTCCAAAATACTTATATTCTCAGGTAACAGGTAAATCGAAAAAAAATGTATCCAATGATGTCATAATGTTTGTTTAATTAGTATCGAACGGTTTATGTTTTGGGAATGTAATGTTTTGAACAATGTACTGAATGTAAACA